CGCGTATAGTTCCAGCTACTTGGAAGGCTGAGGCGGAAGGATCGCCGGAGCCCAGCAGGTCGAGGCTGCGGTGGCCGGGAGCGGCCACTGCACTCCAGTCTGGGTGACAGAGTGAGACTCCAACTCAAAAAAAAAAAAAACCTAGGAGTTCAATACCATCCTGGGCAGCATAGTGAGACCTCTTCACTACAAAAAAGTTTAAAAATTAGTGGGGCGTGGTGGCACATATCTGTATTCCCAGCCACTTGGGAGTCTGAGGTAGGAGGGTGGTCTGACCCAGGAGGCTGTGGTGAGCTGTGATCATGCCACTGCACTCCAGCCTGGGTGACAGATTGAGACTCTGACTCAAAAAAAAAATCAAAACCAAAAACCACAACACAAAAAAAGGGGGAATGTACTATCCGGGCATGGTAGTGTGCACCTGTAGTTCCAGTTACTTGGAAGGCTGAGGCAGAAGGATCACTGGAGCCCAGCAGGTGGAGGCTGCGGTGACCGGGAGCGGCCACTGCACTCCAGTCTGGGCAACAGAGTGAGACTCCAACTCAAAAATGGGGGAGGGGGGAGATGTAGAGAAATTTAGCCAAGCCAGCAAAATTATAGAAAAGAGTAAAAGAGAAAACAATGAAATGATGGTTACAAAAAAGCAATTAGGAAAGAAGGAATAAAACCAAAATGTAGCCAGTGCCGTGACTCAAGCCTATAATCCCTGCATTTGGGAGGCAGAGATGAAAGGATTGCCTAAACCTGTGAGTTTGAGATCAGCCAGGGCAACTTGGTGAGACCTCATCTCTACAATAAATCAAAAAATGATGGTGCGTGCCTATAGTTCCAGCTACTTGGAAGGCTGAGGCGGAAGGATCACCTGAGTCCAGCAGGTAGAGACTGAGGTGGCCCAGGAGCGTGCCACCGCCCTCTAGCCTGGGTGACAGAGTTAGACTCCAACTCAAAACAAAACAGAAACACCAAAATGGATCTGTTAGACTCAGTGTGAACAAACTGAGTAGGTAAAAGTATCAGATTTGATGAAGATATTCACCAAACATGACTTTGTAGATATAACACTCTGTGCCCTACAAAAAAATACATTCTCCTAATGTCCCCGCAATAGCCACAGAAAATGTGCGTGTTCAGAAAAAAACTCAGTAAATTAAAATTAGATGTTTCAGGTCACATTCTCTTACCATAACTGCTGAAAGTAGGAATTGTTCAAGTGTTGCCAAAAGTCACTACTGAGAAACCAGGGTGAAAAGCGGGCTAGGGAGGAGGTCAGCCAGAAATGGGGCGAGTTCCCTGGCAGGGGCAGGGCAAAAGTCTGGTGGGGAGGTTTGCAGGTTAGACGCAGTCATTGTGCGAAGTGAAGGAGGGTGGGCCAGGAGGAAGCAGTCGTGTAGTGGGGTGCAAACATCTGTCCTGGTGCCCAACAGGGCCCTGGGGAGGGGAGGGCCGACCTGTTGCTGAAGCCAGGGGCCCAGAGCCTGAGCTGTGCACAGTAGAGCATAGGTAGGTCAGGAAAGGCCTGAGGGCTGAAGGTGCAGAGCAGCCCACGCAAGGAGCAGGGCCAGAAACTGCGTTCCAGGGCCATATCAGCCGCCACCTGAGTCTGTAATGCTCCCTGGGAACAACCACGACACTTGTGGCTGCTCTGTTGCCACCGAGGCTGGGTTGGGCAGCTGTGGCAGATACTGAGTGGCCTGCAAAGTCTAAGATGTTTTCTCTGCTGCTGACAGGTTGGGAAATTATAAAAGAAAAAAGACAGTCTAAGATGTTTATTCTCTTACCCTTGACCGAGAAAGCTGGCTAGCTCTGGACAGAAGGATGGGGTGTAGTCAGAAGGGGGGTGCAGACAGTCCAGACCTTCGCAGGTCGTGGGGGAGTTGTGTGAGAGGGTCCTTGCAGGTGAGGGCAGGAGGGTGCGGACACACGAGTATTTGCTTTTCACGGACAGCGCGGAGCACGCAGCAGGGGTAGGAGGTGGGCCTGTTCATGCAGGTGGCAAGGCTGTGAGGAGTCTTAGTGCCCAGCTGGGAGCTCAGGAGTCAGCCATGGCATCCGATGACTGTGGGACTTCAGAGTGAAAATCTCCCATCCTTGGTCATCAGCCGTGGAAGTAAGGAGATGTTTCTGGCCCTGGAGGCGGAGTGAGTTGGTTGGTACACAGTGCAGTTGAGCTCCTGTGGGGCATCCAGGTGAGGTGCCCAGTAGACAGTTGACTCCACAGGTCCCAGCTTAGGGCATGCTGCTGACGGGAAAGCCCCAGTGTGTATGCAGCAGTTGAAGGTGACATTGAGATTGCCCAGAGAATAAAGAAGGCTCAGAAATGCAGCTGTAGGGAGCACCAGGAGAGAGGCACGGAGTCCTGGTATGCAGGGGCATGCAGAAGGGGAGGTCAGGACATGTGGGAGCATCATGGGGTGCAGCGCCTGGAGTCATGTGTGAAGAGGTTTTCGTTTGCTGTCAGCTGCTAGGGAGACTACTTTGCGCACAGGCCAGATTTGTGGATTTGCTTTATTCTGGATCTTGTCTTCGTCTGTTTATTTTGCTTTTGAGCCTTGGTTATGTGACCTTGCACTGACTCTGGAGGTCAGAGCTCCCATGTGCTGTTCACTGAGCACATGTTGTTCCCCACCTCGACTGCAAGCTGCTTCTTGTAGGACTGGGCATCCAGGGCACGTGAACAATGACAGGGCAGTGTGCTGAGCTGAGTCTGGGCGTGAAGTGGACCATATGCTGGCATGCCCATTATTTTTCAGTTAAAAAAGCAATGTCTCTTATGCCTTTTTTGTTTAAGAGTAAATACCTGTTTTCACCTTCGAGCAGCCATATGAGACCAAGTAGTATAAATAATTATGCTTCCCCTTTTTTTTCAGGGCTATGACACACCATTGCATTTTGCTTGTAAGTTTGGGAATGCAGATGTGGTCAGTGTCCTTTCCTCACACCCTCTGATTATAAAAAACCCAAGGAACAAATGTGAGAAAACACCTGAAGATGTAAGTATTTATTAAAATGCAATTATTGTCTGGAGTTAGAAATTAAGACATGTCATTTACAACTGTGTTGAAGTCCCAGGCAGCTCTGCGTGTAGTGCTTGCCTCACGGGCACACCTTAGACCCTGGCTGCTGAGTTAGGGTGTGCTCTGGGAGACGATGCATCTTTAAAGCCCGGAGGGAATGAACTTACCCACTTGCTGGCTTTACTTTCCTGAAATTAGCAGTCAGTTGTTCTGAACAGTCTTTGAATCAAGATTCTTCCCGAAATACACCAGTTAACCAGGTCAGAGATAACAGAGATGCTCATGGTGATGGTGTTGAGGAGGATGATGGTGATGATGAAGGTGTTGAGGAGGAGGATGATGGCGAGCATGATGATGAGGGTGGAGGTGACGGTGGTGATGAGGATAGTAAGGGTGGGGGTGATGAGGGTGATCAGGTTGATGACAGTAGTGGTGATGCTGGAAGAAGCTCGTGTGTGAGCCCAGTGTGCGCTCGGGGTTAAGCCAATCACGTGTTCTCACCCAACCAGACAAGGCTTATTAGGCCTCATCAGGATCCTTGGCAGCTGAGCAAAGTATACCTTAGTGAAGACACAGGTATGTTCTGTGCCTGGGAGTGGAAGAGGGAACTGGACTGCCTGACAACTGAAAGAACGGTTTGATTTGTACATGTCCTGCAACAGTTAGCTGCCTGTGACCTGCCACCCCATTAGAATAAAATCCATAAGGATCCTCTTCTTACAAAAGGCTTCTCCTGCACCCCTTTGTGATTGCTGTTATTATATAAGTAATGCCCACTATCAGCGGAAAGCTTAAAACATACATAGACAAGAAAGTATCCAGGCACAGTAGCTCACACCTATCATTCCAGCACTTTGGGAGGCCGAGGTGAGAGGATTGCCTGCGCTCTGGGGTTTGAGACCAGCCTGAGCAATATGGTTGAGACCTCGTCTCTACAATGAATAAAAAAATTAGCCGGGCGTGGTGGCATGTGCCTGTTGTTCCAGTTGCTTGGAAGGCTGAGGCGGAAGGATCGCCTGAGCCCAGCAGGTCGAGGCTACAGTGGCCATGAGCATTCCACTGCACTCCAGCCTAGGTGGCAGAGTGAGACTCTGACTCAAAAAAAAAAGCATAGACAAGAAAGAAAACTCACCAGAAAATTCTGCAACTGAAAAATTGCCGTTATTTTCTATATGACTCAACTTTGTATATATCTGAATTTTTTCAGTTTAAAATGCTATTTTGTAACCAACTTAAAACTGGCAATTATAAAGCATTTGACTCACCATCAGGTACAGATTTTAAAATATTGTTGCTCTTCCGGTTTTGGGGGGGAGTGGGTTTTGAGTTGGAGTCTCACTCTGTTGCCCAGAATGGAGTGCAGTGGCACACTCCCGGCCACCGCAGCCTTGACCTGCTGGGCTCAGGCAATCCTTCCACCTCAGCCTTCTAAGTAGCCGGAACTACAGACGTGCGCTACCACACCTAGCTAATTTTTTTTCTTTATTGTAGAGACACGGTCTCGCCAAGTTGCCTGGATGGGTCTGAAACCCGCGGGCTCAGGCAATCCACTTGCCTCGGCCTCCCAAAGTGCTAGGATACAGACTAAGCCACTGAGCCCGGCCTGGTCTTACTGTTTTCGTTTGTTTCTATCACAGCCTGGTTCCTTTTTCCTCTTATTTGAATGCTGTTGATTTTTCTGTTGTTTCTTCCTTTTTTTTTTTTTTGAGTCAGAGTCTCACTGTTTTGCCCAGGTTTAAGTGCAGTGGCACGCTCCCAGCCACCACGGCCTCAACTTTCTAGGTTGAGGCAGTCCTTCCGCCTCCATCTCCCACATAGCTGGGACTGCAGACACACACCACCATGCCCAGCTAATTTTCTTATTTTTTTGTAGTGATGAAGTCTCGCTGTGTTGCTCATACTGGTCTTGCACTCCTGGACTTGTCTTCCCCCAGCCTCCCAAAGTGCTGGGATTACAGGTGTGAGCCACTGTGCTGGCCTTGTTGACTTTAGGGAATGACAGTGAGACTCCAACTCAAAAGAAAAACGTTTATAAAATCATTATGATAAGGAAATGTGATCAAATAAGATTTAGACGTTCTTTTCTTTTTCAACAGGTAATTTGTGAAAGAAGCAAAAATAAGTCTGTGGAACTGAAGGAGAAGATCAGAGAGCATTTACAGGGTGAGGTGGAGGATCAGGGTGTGGAACATGTAGTCCATCGTTGAGGAGGTCCTTGGATGGGCATGTGGGCCTGGACCTAGTGCTCTGGGCGGAGCTTTCTTGTGGATGGAAGTATGTCCCTGACTGCTCCTTGGAAGCCCTGCTTCAGGATTATCTCTTTCTCTCTTTTTTATTTTATTTTATTTTATTTTGTTTTTGAGTTGGAGTCTCACTCTGTCACCCAAGCTGGAGTGCAGTGGCCGCTCCCGGCCACCGCAGTCTCGACCTGCTGGGCTCCAGCGATC